AGCAATCAGCTTTTATTTATTTATTTATTTATTTAGTTTGTTAGTTATATTGCTTTATTTATTTTCATTGGAATGCTGTGTTCACAGTAGATTAACAACACAGCAATAGTGTCAGATGTAGCAGAATCTTTTTATAGCACCAGGTTAAACTTTCTGATACCTTTATGGCAACCCAATACATTAAAAATAAATACAGGCCACAACTGAATATTGAGAATTATATCTGAGTGGCGGTCTCCAAAATTAAACCAAAAATGGACTTGTGCTGAAAACATTGTGCCCACCAGTCTCATTAGTTGTAGTTAATATTAAATTACACACATGAATAGATGACTATTAAAAATTATATGGTTTTAGACTGTTGCACTTTTTGTGTTGTCAATATGTTTGTGTTTATATGGGCCTATTGTTTAACGAGCTATGTTTGCATGTTTATAAATACCTAAGAGGAAATTTGGGGTCGCGAGTCACTGGCATTGTTATTTTCGGGGTTGCGTAGTGTAATTACAAATGTAATCATCTGAATTAATTACAATGAATAAGGAATTAAATGCATTTATTTAATCAATAATATGTATAATATAAAAAACATGTATTTACACAATAGAAGTACATTGTAACAAATTATTAAGTTCAGTGTTAGTACATATTAGTTAAGGCCACCTATTATAAAGTGGGTTCTCTGGACCTTTTTTGTTAGCTTGAGTCTTGAGTCTAGTTTGTTAGTTTTGTGGGCGCTACTGTAGGTAGAATCTAGATGCTTTTAATTGTAGTTTTTTCTTAATATTGTTATATAAGACAGAAAATCAATGTTGCAGTCAGAATCTGTTCAGAAGGATTATTACAGAGAATTTGTATTTCTTAAGGAATAATTGTAATAAATAAATAAAAAACATGTATTTACTGTAGACTCCCTCTGTGAAAACCCCAGCTTGGGCCGGTGGTATATGATTCTGATGGTATGATAAAAATATTGGATAAAAATATCACGGTTTCACGGTATTGTGATTAATGCTTCCAAATATATTCCTTTTAAATGTTTGTGGAAAAAAACTCTTAGAACACTATATTTTATTTTGAGAAGCGATCAAAATGTTTTGGAACAGTAAATAAGTCAGGCTGAATAATTTAAATTAATCTTTGACTTCTGCTGTCTTCGTTAGTTTCAAAAACACAGATTTAAAAACGGCTTCTTTGGATATCTTTTCTGCTTAAGATACTGTTCTCCTATAAATGTTAGAAAATAAATTAATGATTATAATTAAAACACATACCTTAGGAATGGTTTAACAAAACATTTTGTCAGTTTTAAAACCCTGACTTTTCCAAACCACAGTATACCTTACAGTAATCGTCCAATGTCTAACCATGCTAGGTAATTTATGTTATTCTTTGTTTTAGAAATAAATTGTTCAACACAGAATAAATGATTTCACATTCTGTGAAAATAAAACCTTGATAATGTATCTTTAATAATGACAGAGGTAGGCCATTTTTTCTTCATGTATTAGCATTGGCTGTATATGCAGACAATTGCTTTAAACATATAATTACCAAAAAAAAAAAAAACATAATAAGAAAAAATTTTCTTAAAATTCTTCCACTGCTTCATCCAGTTATGTTTTCCTCATCTTCCCCTCAAAAATAATCCGCTATAGGCTATTATGTCGTAATTTCTTCACAGAGATTTGTATCATATTAGCTGTTAAACAATCCACTTTCTGTTCCTAACGCTTCATAACTGCTGACCTGAATAAGAGGGAATTCATCCAAGCACAGGATCAATAGCCATCTAACCAAAATATATTGTGGTGTTCATTTATTAATTTTTCTTTGGCTTAGTCCCTGATTTATCAGGGATCGGGTCGCCACAGCGGAATGAACCGCCTATTTTGCAGTGTATCAGAACTTAAATTAGATGAAAAGAAGCAAGTTACCTTGACACATGTTGAGCTTTAAAACAAAGTCAACCAGTAATAAAGTGAAAAAATCTAAGCAAAAAGTGAAAGCCGACTAAAGCTGCAGCTTACCTGCCATTCCAGAGACTCGCTATCAAATTTTTATAAATATTTTTTGTGTTGTCTAACTGTGGGAAAAAAACAGAGAGAACAATCAAGTACCCAACGTAATCCCAGAAATGGTTGAAATCGGTGTTTAGATAGCAAACCTCCAATATATTGTTATCTTAATTTAATGAAACGCTGTGTTGAAAATTGATAATTTGAATTTCAGTATTAATCATGTTCTAAATATAAATATAGTATTGTATCTTAAACCTTTGATATTTTATCTGCTGTTTAATAAACAGACATTTTATATCTTAGCAATACAAATTTGAAGCTCTTTTTCTCGAAAATAGATTATGCAACCTTAGCCAATGGGGTCACACACACACACACACACACACACACACACACACACACACACACACACACACACACACACACACACACACACACACACACACACGCGCACACACACACACCCTGTGAGAGACCACTCTAAAGCTAAAGTTGCAAAATCAAAATCATCAAAATTAGTAATAAATAAGCAGGTTTCTTATATTTGGTCTATTTTTTGAGCAATCATGGAAGAGATCAATCTGCTAAAAAGATATACCTACCTTGCTCTAAAAATTTAAAGGCATATCATTAAATTTGTTCATTTAAGTGTGGTTAACATTGTTAACAATGTTTGAAGCAAGATTTCTAATATATTATACTTTTGTTGGTATAATTATTGTTGTCTATATTGCTTTTTATATTATTAATATAAAGAGTTATATGCAGTAATATCATGGTAAAAATCAGTTTAACAATCAAAACTTTTTCCTCACATTCAGTCATTATATATTATCTGTTTTTGATTTGTTTACTGATTTGCTACTAATATAGATATATTTTGATATAGTAAATGCAATATTATTTATTTATTTCAAATTAATAATAATAATAATAATAATAATTTTTATTTATATAGCGCCTTTCCAGAGCTCAAGGACACTTTACAAGAAATGCAACAAAAAGATAAACAAACATACAGTACATGAAGTCAAATATAACAAACTGGAATTACACAAACAAGACCTAAGAGACATATGAGCAGAGTAGTGGTGGATCAGATAAAGTAGTCAATTTGGACCTTCTTCAAGACAAATGTAGTAATATGTTGACTATTTTTTTGACAGAGAATCTTAACTTACCTGCATGGCAGTCTGGAATGTTTTGTAGGTTATTGTTTAGCTGATGTCGTCTTATGGTTTTGTTGTAGCTACAGTTTGTGTCTGGTTACTGTGGTACAATGGCTTGTAACAGCTCTGTCTTTTAAACTATGTTCATTTAAATAATCTGTAAACATTAATAATAGTCAAAATGGTCAATAAAACAGCTATAATGAATTGTATAAATGATAATCATTTTCATCCTGTGACACCGAAGATTTAATGGTTAGAGAATTCAGCCTTGAGTCACAGAAATGAATCATATTTTACAAATGCAATAGTTATTTTAATTTGTACAAATACTTTGAATTGTGGGTGACACTTGGCTCAGTGGTTAGCACTGTCGACTCACAGCAAGAAGTCACTGGTTCGAGTCTCGGCTCAGTTGGCTTTTCTTTGTGTAGTTTGCATGTTCTTCCCATGTTGACGTGGGTTTCCTCCAGGTGCTCCAGTTTCCCCCACAGTCCAAAGACTTGCGCTATGGATGAATTGTAACTAAGTTGGCCGTAGTGTATGTGTTCGAATGAGTGTGTATGGATGTTTCCCAGAACATGGGTTGCAGCTGCAAGGGCATTCACTGTGTGAGACATATGCTGAATAATTCCTCTGTGAATTAAGGGACTAAGCTGGAGGAAAATGAATGAATGAATGTTGCATTGGTACTGCGTTATTAAATACACAAAACACAAATCAATATTTGTAACCCCAATATACAGTATGCCTACTTTAATGCAATTACGCATTCATGAGCAAGCCAAATGGACAAATACAGCCAAACAAGCAAATGCAAACTTGCCTGTGGGCAGAAAACATGAGTGTTAGCAGTATTGACTGAATACTTCACACTCGATTACACTAGTTAAATGCTGCTACTGCTCTCAGGTAAACAGTATCCACACCTCTGGCTGCTCCATTTAGCTGTGTAGTACAGTGTTTTATCCATGCTTGCAATTGTGACTTGCATACATACAGTACCTGAGCCTTGTCATCGATCCCAGTTGTAAGAGCAACAAATAAAACTTGACATCTAGTTCCAATGAATCAACCGTTGAACTGCATCCCAATCATTACAAATACCGCAGAAGAACTATTGGAGCCTGCATGGGTCCAAGATTCTGACAGAAGTCGGTCAAGTTTGGTGAAGGAAAAATCATGGTTTGGGGTTACATTAAGTTAGAGGGTGTGTGAGAGATCTGTAGAGTGGATGGCAACATCAGCAGCCTGAGGTATCAAGACATTTGTGCCGCCCATTACATTACAAACCACAGAAGAGGGAAAAATTCCTCAGGAGGATAACGGATCTTCGCATGCTTAAGCCTCCACATCAAAGTTCCTGAAAGCCAAGAAGGTCAAGGTGCTCCAGGATTGGCCAGCCCAGTCACCAGATATAAACATTATTGAGCATGTCTGGGGTAAAATTATGAGGCATTGAAGATGAATCTAAAGAATCTTGATGAACTCTTGGAGTCCAAATGATTAACTAGAAATTATTATTTGTTGTTCCAAAAACTTGGATAGGTGATAAGACTTTTGTCAGGTTGTGTACATTGACATAAATAAATTAGTAATAATAATAAAACAATAGTAGTAGTATAGTAGCCTATACTAATTTAAATCCTTTTTTCTGTATATTAAACATCCTCATGCAAACACAGAGATCAGCATTGATGATTTGTTAGTACTCCCTGATAAATGCTTTGTGTTTTAATCTTAAATGTCTAGGTTATTGAGCTTGTAATCTTTGTAATTGAGCTTATAATCGTTCTCTTTCTTTTTTCAGTATCACTAAAGAACCACTGCTTGGGATGGACTTCACCAGCACTGCCATGCAGATATTAGCCATGTGAAAGATCTGGCCAATCAAAATGGGTATGCAAATCCATACGTTACACTAAAAAGTGTTATGTGTACAAATCAGTTTTATGATTTCTGTACTATCATAATATGATTGTTTTATTTTATTGTTGTCATTTTATTACTGCTGCTTCCTTTTACGGTTTCATTACAGTTTTCATTGCTCAATATGTACACTTTGACACTCTCCTTATGATATGTCATATCATTTTAAGATGGAATGGCTGGCTGGATGAAAGTAGGGCAGATGCAGGAGTCATGCTGAGGGCGGAAAAAGGCTGCCTTTATGGCGCACACCTCCCTCTACTGGCTAAATTATGCATTGCTCATAATAAGGCTAGTTCATAAAATAAAGTGTTAAGCCATAATTACAGTATGGTAATATAAATATAAAAAAGTAATTTCAATCTATTTCAAATATTCCCAGTTGGACATAAAATAAAATGAAATGTGTGTCTATATGTGTGTTTCACTTTCAGGGATGGCTGAGAGGTTGTGTGTGGCGGTGAGCAGCTGAGGTTGGCTGTGATCTGGGTCTTCTCTTCTGGCTGAGAGCATGTACAGGAGGAATGGACTCCCTGCCAGCGTCAGCATCACCTCTCGCAACACACAGGTACTCAACACATATAAATCAGAGTTTATATATAGTTGAAGTCAGAATTATTAGACTCCCTGTTTATTTTCCCAGATTTTCTGTTTACAGAGAGAAGATTTTTTTCCCCACACATTTCTAATCATAATAGTTTTAATAACTAATTTCTAGTATCTGATTTATTTTATCTTTGCCATGATGACCGTAAATAATATTTCTATAAAGCTTAAAGTGACATTTAAAGGCTTAACTAGGTTAGTTAGGTTAACTAGGCTGGTTAGGGTAATAAGGCAAGTTGTAGTATAATGATGGTTTGTTCTGGAGACTATTGGAAAAAAATAGCTTAAAGATTCTAATAATTTTGTTCTTAAAATGGTTAAAAAAATTAAAAACTGCTTTTATTCTAGCCAAAATATTTTCCTTGCTCTGTTATAATAATAATAATAATAATAATAAAAATAATTATTATTATAGTTATTATTAATATTATTATTATTGGATGAAACGGTGGCTCAGTGGTTAACTCTGTCACCTCACAGCAAGAAGGTCGCTGGTTTGAGTCCCGGCTGGGTCAGTTGGCATTTCTGTGCGGAGTTTGCATGTTCTCTTTGTGTTGGTGTGGGTTTTCTTCAGGTGCTCCAGTTTCCCCCATAAGTCCAAAGACATCTGCTATAGGTGAATTGAGTTAACTAAATTGTTCGTCATGTATACGTGTTATTGTAGGAGTGCATGGGTTTCCCAGTGCTGGGTTGCAGCTGAAAGCATCCGCTGTGTAAAACATATGCTGAATAAGTTGGTGGTTCATTCTGCTTTGGCGCCCCTTGATAAATAAAGGGACTAAGCTAAAGGAAAATATATTATTATTATTAATTTTATTATTTGTTTTATGTACTCCTTCAGTAGTTATATCTTTTGGATCACATTATGTGCAGGGCAAAGCAAATCTCCAGGTGCTCTCATGAGAACCAGACTGATAAAGTTATAGAATAACATTACATGTTGTAATTGAAGCAAAGCAGTATGTGAAAGTCAGTAAATGAAAATATGAGACTATAAACTTAGTGGCTTTTTTAAGGGAAATAACTACAATCCCATGAAGCATTGCAGGTGACACAGTATAATTGAAAGCACGTTCGAAATATAACACTCAGGTTATAGCATCTATGTTTATTTACATATCTATCTTCATTTGAGCTAAATATCACTTTGGATGCAAACTGTTTAGTTGAGAAGAGATTGTTTGAAAAATGTATAAATTAATGTGGAAAGATGTGTTCAACATGTTGTTTTGATTAGCAATGGGCTATACTGTTTGCACAGCTAGTGTTTTTCAGCCAATGATAAACTTCCAGTGAAAGCTTATCGTGATTATTTTCAATTTCATAAGGTTAATTTTACAGCATTAATGTTGAAATGTAATTACAATACATTCAGTTTAATAATCTTTAGCATTCACTTAGTTGTTCAAGCAAAAACGAGATGAAAGACACTGTAACCACTAGCGCCACCAGTAACAGCAGGCTAGCACAGAAACTCCTATTGAAAATACTGTGGTAAAATAAACGGTCATATTTTAAAGACATGGCAGGGCAAAATGGAATTTACTGCAGTGCTTCTTGTCTGGTCTGAGACCCGTTTAATATTGTATTTCTATCAGGCAGTGAAGATCACTGACTTTGATATACATAAAAACCTTAAGCATGGCAATTTTATAATGGACAGACAGTTGACCAGAAGCACTGATGCTGGCTGGCTGAAATTAAAAGTCTGTGTGTAGATAACTCATTGTAGTGCTCACAAAAGATCTGTCTTTAAAAGTGTATCAGTCATTAATAAAAATGTTTTTAAAAATAAATAACTTTTAAATTTAGTTTTTTTTATATTTCTTGAATAGGGCTGTGTTGTGTTGTATTGCCAACACATTTTTCTTCATGTTGACTAGATCAATATCACACACAGTAACCTCAAGTCCATTAGCTGTATGTTTGCTCCAATACTGAGAGGGGGCGCTGTTGAGTTTGAACTGGGTGAAGTGGAGTAAACGCATTGTTAGTTATCACGATATTGACTTGCTGAGGGCACTCAGATGAGAGTAACAGCAGTTTGTTTGATCATCATTGCTAATCAGTTCACATGCACACTGACAGGACGCCACTCTAGTGAGACAGTGCAATGTCATTTTCATGCTGTGTGAACTGGAAATCAGCCAAACAATCAGTAGATGTGGCATACAGTCACAGGGCTTTCCATTTATAAGGTCACAAAATCATTTTCCATAATTAATTTTGTTGGAGGGTAGTAATTTACTTTAATTATTTTATTTATTTATTTATTTATTTATTTTGAGAGAGATACTGGTAATGTCAGTGAAGGATTAGGAATCTCTTGAAGAGGTAGTGATGTCTGTGAGAGACTGTGACCTAATCAAACACAGCTGATCCAACTAGTCAAGGTATTCAAGTCTACTAGAGACTATTGGGCAGGTGTGACATGGAGGTGTTTGGAGCTAAACTATGGAGAGCTGTGGCCCTCCATGAATTGAGTTTGAGACCACTGACTTTGAGGGACTAGTGATATATTTGGGGGGTTGGTGATGTCCTGTGAGAGACTAGTTATATCTTTGATGGACTAGTGATGTCTGTGAGGAACTAGTGATGTCTGTTAGGAACTATTAGGGACTAGTGATGTCTGTGAGGGACTAGTGATTTCTTGTGAGAGACTAGTGATATCTTTGAGGAGCTAGGGATGTTCTGTGAGAGACTAGTGATACCTTTGATGGACTAGTGATGTCTGCAAGGAACTAGTGATGTCTGTAAAGGAATATCAGGGACTAGTGATGTCTGTGAGGTAATAGTGATGTCCTGTGAGAGACTAGTGATATCTTTGAGGAGCTAGTGAAGTCCTGTGAGACACTAGCCATACCTTTGATGGACTAGTGATGTCTGTGACAAACTAGTGATGTCTGTAAGGGACTATTAGGGACTAGTGATGTCTGTGAGGGACTAGTGATGTCCTGTGAGAGGCTAATGATATCTTTGAGGAGCTAGTGATGTCCTGTGAGAGACTAGTGATACCTTTGATGGACTAGTGATGTCTGCGACGAACTAGTGATGTCTTTAAGGGACTATTAGGGACTAGTGATGTCTGTGAGGGACTAGTGATGTCCTGTAAGAGGCTAATGATATCTTTGAGGAGCTAGTGATGTCCTGTGAGAGACTAGTGATACCTTTGATGGACTAGTGATGTCTGCGACGAACTAGTGATGTCTTTAAGGGACTATTAGGGACTAGTGATGTCTGTGAGGGACTAGTGATGCCTTTAATGGACTAGTGATGTCTGTGAGGTACTAGTGATGTCCGTACGGCACTATTGGGAGTCTTGGGACTATTTTTTTTTAGAATATTGTCCCGTGAGAGACTAGGGATATCTTTGATAGACTATAGCAATGTCTGTGAGAGACTAGTGATATCTTTTGGCCCGTTTCCACTGAGTGGTACAGTACCGTACTGTACGGCACGATACGGTACGGGTCACCTTTATCAGGTGCATTTCCACTACCACCTTTATTATTGCATTTCCACTACCAAGGGTACCCTTTCTGTGAGCATGGTGTATGACAGAAAGTTTCAGTTGTCATCATTCTCTCTCGAATAAATGTCTACAGTAAAGCTTTACAGGTCGTTCACATATCATATGAGAAGCACTTCTCACAAAACAGATGCTTTACACACATAAATACTTGTGTATAAATGTTTATTACTAACTTTTCTGTAAACATAATTTAATTATAACCGCAGATCGATGACAGTGCGAGAAAGCCTACTGTAATGTCTGCAATTATATAAAATAAATAAATAAATGCAACATATATGAACACATACAGCCCCATACAGTCTCTGACATGTTACTATTTACTGAAAAAACTACACACAGCATCCATTTAGTCTTTATTTAGGTTCATAAATAACATGCAACATAGCCCACAGTCAGTGCAAACCTCTCATATGTGTCTGTAATCTTCAACAGCACAGGTAAGCTTTGTTAAAGAGTAATTCTGTCATTCCGAGCTCATAATAGTCCAAAAGGTGATGATAAACATGGCAGTTTGTTCGTGATTCAGGTTGCTAAAAAAATTAGCTTGTGTGTTTTGTTGGGCTTTTCCTTTGTTTGTTCGCTCTTCACTCTTGTGTTTGTCCTTTTCTTTCTCAAAGGATCAAATGACGGAGACACTTCAATAATCGCACACACGTTATTTTCATTAGCTCAAGAAGTTCGTTATATTAAATATAGACACGATCACGAGCTTCCGAAAGAAAGCGAAAACCGATTTTTTTAGACGGCCTAGTAAAACAACAACAGGACACTACAGATTTTGTTCTTCTTGGCTTTTTGTCTGTACATCAAGACAAGGACAAGGTTTGTTTGAGCCTGGGTCATCCATGGCTCGTTATTATAAGCATATAGTATTACGGAGTAATGTCTCTTTTGTGTATTTAAAACATAGCTGTTCCGTTGTTTTCATTCTGGCTAGCTCCACACGAGCTTGTGACATATCTCTGTAACCAATCAGCATTTAGCTGTGCATGTAGCTCCACCTTTTGGTACCCTTTCTCATGTTTGGTAGCCTTTTGTAAGGGTGCCTAAAAAGTACCACTCAGTGGAAACGGGCCATTTGAGGGACTAGTGATGTCCTGAGAGAGACTAGTTGATGCCCTGTAAATTGTTTGACAAGCCGCAAATAACGAATACACAATTTTGATCTTCACTATACATCCACCAACTACTTTAGATACAGTATAGAAAAAGATTCAACAAGATGTTGGAAACTATGTCAGAGATTTTAGTCCATTCTGACATAATCAGCTTCGCGTTGGAATGGTAGAGTTACATTTTGAATGGTAATGGCCTGAAATGAGGCCATGAAGAAATCTTCTAGCAATTAAGGACGCCTACAGAGCAGATAGGACACTGAGAAGATAAGACTGAGATTTCTCATCAATGCGGATATTACACTGGATGGATTTGGGAAACTTCAAAGTGGATCTGTCAGGATAATTTGCTGAGGAGAAACAGTTCTTTGTATAGTGACTGTATCTTTCCTTCATGGGCTTTTGTTATGTGGTCTATTTTTGTCTGGCTTTTATTCTGATATGGGCTAAACTGGCACACTGCCTGTTTATAAAGTGATGTGGCTGCATTCTGATCCCCTTTTACCATCTGGGCTGAATAATCATATGGAATGAAATAATTCAAAATGACATTGGTAATTAAACTGATTAAATGTCCACAGGAAGAGTGCAATTGGCCATGGCTCCATGTCCATATGGATTTTATAGGAGTATGAAACATCACCTTTGATGTTATTTCCAGGTTTTTTTTTTACACTTTGTTTCCTGCCTAACAACCTTTCTCCTGGGTCTGCAGGACAGCAGTAGTTCAGAGTCCCTGGATGGACGGAGCTTGGACTCTGCAAAGAGCTTTGACGCGGTGGTGTTTGACATGCTCAAAGTGACACCTGAGGAGTTTGCTGTAAGTCTATACAATAAATGTTGCAATCCTTACCTCTCCACATCTAAATACATGCATATTGTAATAATAATACATTTTATTATCATTTAGAGTAGATTTTAGAGGTACAGTTTATTAGTTGGAAACCTCAAACTTTAGGCCCTTCAATTTGAGGTTAAATTTTGCATTTTAAATTTGACCTAAAATTCACTCTGCTTGAAGCTTAAGTCAGTGCTCAATTGGTAAATGGATAATTTTCGCAACAAAACCAGGAAAGTAGAGTTACTGCGACTGACGTCCGCCACACAATTTTAGTTTTTCCCAGAACCTGAGATTACTAAGCGTTTAATACAAAAAAAAATAAAAAATTCTATTATTATTTTGTGCCATAAAATGTTATGGGTCAAAAATAGGTAAAAAAAAACAAACAAACAAACTTGTAGCTACAAACATAAATTGTATGAAACATCAGTATCCAGTTTACTAACACCACTGACATACTGTGCCAATCGAAAATAACTCATTCTGTCTAATCTTCAAGAAGAGCCCACAGTTACCTCTTCCGTCATGTTTTCTGGCTGACTTGAGAGAGCTTTGCTTCTGTTTTCCACTATCCTGATCCATTCGTACAGTTTTATGTTCTTGAGATCTTTTTTGATCAGGCTCATTTTCAGATTTACTCGTGGTTGTAAAAAAAAAAAAATATTATATAAATATATATATATATATATATATATATATATATATATATATGCTTGACTGTCTCTGGCATTTTAAAAATACAAATATTATTTATGTAGGCCTTTATCTTATTATTTATTTTCGTTGCTCACTGAGACAGAAACAATAATCACCCACCAATGAGAGTCATTGTAAACATAAAAAAGCCTTTTCACTTGGACTCATTCACACTCTCTGTCTCTCTCTTTCTCACACACACACATGCAAGTATTTTACCACGCAAAAGTTAATATCAGATCAGTTAAAACAAATATCGGAACACAAAACACGAATATAAGACATTCCCAGAACAGGATCCGACAAGATCCAGCTCAATTTAAGCACTGGGTTAAGTTGATAAAAAAAATGGCATTTTAACATTTTATTTTCCTTTATTTGATTGTTTTTTTTTTGCAGCAGGAGCCTATAGTAAATTTTTTATTTTTTAAATGTGATTTATTATTTCAGATTTACTTATTATTTATTATTATTATTTTATTTTAAAGAGCCCATATTATACATGAAATAGGGTCATATCTTGGTTGTAAGGGTCCCCAACAACAGTCTAATATGCATGCAAGGTCAAAAAACACTTTCATGGTCTTATAATCTGCATTTATTTTTACCTAATTATCCCAGCGACTCCTGTATGAATCGTCCAGTGATTCATTTGTTCCCAAACCCCTCCTTAGCGTGAAGCTAATCTGCGCTGATTGGACCAATGACAGCCTGTTGCGATTGGTCGACTGCCTTCAGTCAGAGTGAAATGCCAAACAGCTAATCAGCAATATAAAAGTAATCACAGTTCATACACGCTCGATAGTGTAGGTGTGGTTTAGCTGCCAGTGGGTCAATGTAAACTTACAGTCGATGGACAATTCAGACGACTAACTATTTTATTGAGCAAAAACTCCAAAAACTGTCGAGGAGATCACATAGCTTGTCTCACTCTGCTCTTTTCACAGACACAAACACACACACACACACACACACACACACACACACACACACACACACACATTGGCCTCGTCCGCGCACACACACACACACCTCGGGGCGACAACGCGCGCGAACACACACACAAACACACACACATACCTTCGGATGACAGCGCACGCACACACACACTACCCTCGTCCACGGAGCTCCGTAAACAAAGCAGCACACGTCGCGTTTTTAACGTGACTTTGCACGCGATAAGAGAATATAGCCAGTTAACCTGATACAGTACACGCGGTTACAAGTAACAAATCGCAACTAAATACATTTGCAAGCCAGAGTCAACGAGGCAACAACTTTAATCGCACGTACTTACACTTGAGAAATGGAGGAAGAAACCCATCCTGACGTCCATCAGTAAGTTACTCTTTACTGATCCTTCCTTCAACAAACGCCGATGAAGTATTCTTTGTAGCATGTAGTTTTCAAAAGTTTCCAGTAGTTTCCAACTGCTTGGTTATAATGCTGAGGTTTCATCTTTGCGTAGAGACTCGATATAATATCCATCTGCAGTGTGACTTCAATCGACCGGCATGTTTGTGTGCGTGTGTTTGTGGGTGTGTGTCTGGGTTTCTGCGTCAGAGGGCGGGGCCTCAGGTTTGAAATCTCCCGGGTTTGCGCGTGCACGTAAATAACTTGGTTTCATTCGTACGTCATGGCGAAACACCTAATGACTCAGTATCAAGGCGACTCGTTTGAAGCACTATGAGTCGACTCATTTATAGATGAATCAACTGTTTTAAACACTGTACTCTTACAGATTTAAGCCTTAGCTGGATACTTCACTTCACTTAGAGCTGTGTTACACACTACATGGAGGGGAATTTTCAAAAACCCATAATATGGGCTCTTTAATTTTTTGCTAAATGAGGGATAAGTTGAATGAGTAAAGCTATTATTACACTATTGACATACACAATAAGTGCTACCCCTTAAATGAAAGTTAATAATATAAAAATAGTAAATTTAGTTAGTTATAATTTAATATAGTAAATATTTAACCTTAATAAAGCCTCATTTGTAGTTCACACACACACACAAACACTCCTAAACCCAACCATCACAGGAAACTGTGTGCAGCTTTACTTTCTGATTAAACTCACACACACACATACAGTTGAAGTCAAAGTCATAATTATTAGCCCCCTTGAATTATTAGACCGCTTGTTTATTTTTTTCTCCAATTTCTGTTTGACGGAGAGAAGATTTTTTTCAACACATTTCTAAACATGGTTGTTTTATTAACTTATTTCTAATAACGGATTTATTTTATCTTTGCCATGATGATAGTAAATAATATTTGACTAGATATTTTTCAAAACACTTCTATACAGCTTAAAGTGACGTTTAAAGGCTTAACTAGGTTAATTAGGTTAATTAGGCAGGTTAGGGTAATTAGGCAAGTTTTTGTATCACAGTGGTTTGTTCTGTAGATTATCGAGAAAAAATATTGCTTAAAGGGGCTAATAATTCTGTCCCTAAAATGGTGTTTAAAAAATTAAAAACTGCTTTTATTCTAGCCAAAATAAAACAAATAAGACTTTAGAAAAAAATATTAGTAGACATACTTTGAAAAATTTCTTGCTCTGTTAAACATCCTTTAGTAAATATTTTAAAAAGAATAAAAAAATTGAAGGGGGCTAATAATTCTTCAACTGTATATAAATACCCATTTCTATGGGTTTGATATAAAAGCTGCAGCTAATTATATGCAACTAAACAAAAAAAATCCATATGAATCAAATAATTTAACTTAATTACTTTACTTGCTATAAAAGTGAAGTAATTGACAAATTTACTGACTTTTATCTTTTATAGTAAGTGATTATGCCTCTTTTGAAGACTTGAATTAGGTTGTTTGATTCATATGGATTTTTTTTACAGCTATTTGCCAGTTAGTTATATCCACATACTACTACAAACATGTTATAATGTAAGTCAAGTCAAATATTCTCAGACTGTGGCAGAATATATTATTAGATCATTTTTCATACGGATTTATGACAGTCTGTTTCTCTGAATTGAAGTGGAGAATGGTTATGAAATTTCAACTTTCCATCTCATAAATATAATCTGTCAGTTCAAGGGAAGCCTTTAATTACCCATTCAATTTTTATATTTATAGAAACCCACTTATTTCCAATAAAGGTCATTATGTAACATTTTTCACTGTAAAAAAGTTTCACTTTTAAGAAATCAGTAGAATGTTTGTAAAATACAATCAAAACTTGACACTTATGTGAGATAAAGACCCATTCTATAATCCCATAATGTAATAGTTTACCCACTATCAACGTTTACATTTTCCCTGTAGAAAATAAGGATGACATGTCACGGCACTGGATTTGGTCCACTTTTTTTAAATAAATCCAAGCAGCATGGATATTCTTCTAAATATATCATTTTGTGTTCTATGGAATAAAATCACACATGTTTGGAACAGTGTTCAATTATGGTACAGTGCTTATTTTTAAGTGTCATTTTTAAACTGCATATACAACTTTTTACCCTTTCTCATTTATTTTGCAGAGTCAGATCACTTTGATGGATGCTCCTGTGTTCAAAGCGATCCAGCCTGAGGTAAGAGCGTTGTCCATGGCAACTAAATACACATCCTCTGTGTTTATGGAGCCACAGCTGTAAACTGATCTCATGTGCTCTCTAGTGCTCCAGCGTAGTGTGACGTGGCACTACAGCAGTGCATTAATGGCACACATACACACTCAGACAGCAGTGCCCACAGCATTGAACTACACATTCTTCCATTACTTTAACCAGAGCTTACCCTCTGCTCTGAGTTACCGAGCCCTCAGTACTTTCCTTAATTAACATTTTATGTGAAGACGACAATGGAACGGCGCTCATAACAGATATGATAGGTTTGGACCAGGATCAGAGAGATGTTTTTACACAGATAATGAAAACACGTCAGCCAATGCATGTTACAGTTTAATACAGGTTTTGTGAGTGACTGCTTTCAGAGGAATTTTTATTTATTTATTTAAAGTATTTAGTGGGCAGCATGGTGGTGCAGTGGGTAGCACGATCGCCTCACAGCAAGAAGGTTGCTGGTTCGAGCCCCAGTTGGGTCAGTTGGCAGTTCTGTGTGGAGTTTGTATGTTCTCCCTGTATTTGTGTGGGTTTCATCCGGGTGCTCTGGTTTCCCCCACAAGTCCAAAAACAGGTGTAATAGGTGAATTAGGTAAGCTAAAAATTGGTCGTAGTGTATGTGTGTAAATGTATGGGTATGGATGTTTCCCAGTGATGGGCTGCAGCTGGAAGGGCATCCGCTGCGATAGGTTGGCAGTTCACTCTGCTGTGGCAACCCCAGATTACTAAAGGGACTAAGCCAAAAAGAAAATGAATGAATGTATTTAGTAGGTTAGCTGCTATTGACGTCGCCACGGCGGAATGAACCGCCAACTATTCCCGCATATGTTTTACAGGCATTCTGTGTAATCTTGCAGTGATCTAAAGATGATGGTCAGAATTGCGGTTACATTTATTCATTCATTTTCCTTCGGCTTAGTCTACAATCTAACCACCGAACCACCGTGGTGCCACATTTCAAGCATTTTCCATTCATTTTTTTTTTCTTGAAGTGGAATTTATGCAACAAATGTGTAATTTACAATAAACTGAATCCATTATTAGTGTAAAAATAATGTAAAATGCTTTAGTAATTGTTGTTCAACACATTCTTAATAACTACTTACAGAGTTGACATTTTACACCATTTTGTGCTTAAGCTCAAGATGCTAACCTTAAACCAGGAGTCAAATGTCTAAAACAGATTTGTACTGTATGTATTGTCATCATGTTTTTGTTTTTAAATTGTGAATGAGACATTCACTAAAATGACACAGTAGAGTTCAAAAAATTTATTAATCTAATTTTAATGTATCCTAAACATTTTTGCACAAAATAATGAGAAGAATAACTGAATACATCAATGCCTTTCAGAGTTTGTAGCCAGTCACATGTCTTTTATACTGTATCAGTGTTTCATGCTATTGTTTATATAAGAGTAAAGTAAAAACACAAAAACTATGGAAATTAGATTTACAGTAATTTTGTTAATGATTATTAAAGCTGGCTGAATGTATGATTCAAAAGGCAGAGACAGTCAAACATACTGTAGGTATAGTGGGAGTATTTCATGACAATTTGTCCCCTAAATACACATACAAATATAGTTTGTGTAATATAATAATATAATAATTATATATATATATATATATATATATATATATATATATATATATATATATATATATATATATATATATATATATATATATATATATATATATATATATATATATATATAATTATAGAAAATTCATCTAGGAAATGCAAATGTACTCATAATTCATACATTCATTCATTTTCTTTTTGGCTTAGTCCTTTTATTTACCAGGGGTCGCCACAGCGCAATGAATCACCAACTTACCCAGCACATGTTTTACACAGCAGATGCCCTTCCAGCTGCAACCCATCACTGGGAAACATCCATACACACTCATTGTCATACATACACTACGGACAATTTAGCTTTCCCAATTCACCTACCACATGTTTTTGGACTGTGGGGGAAAGTGGAGTACCTGGAGGAAACCCATGCAAACACGAGGAGAACATGCAAACTCCACACAGAGCTCACACATACTCATGATTATATTAGTCATATATAAGGTCAAGCCCGAAATTATTTATACCCACAGGGGTGTAAATAACTTCAGATGTGACTAGACATAGGTCGGTATAAGTTTCTGATGGTATGATAACCTTGGATAAAAATATCACATTAGTTGATTCATTAGTTTAAAAAACACAGATTCCTTTTCAACACAAAAACCCCCTTAAAATACCTTAGGAATAGTATAACAGATTTTTTTGTTGTTTTAAAACCTTGACTTTTCCAAATCACTGTAAACCTTGAAACTGGTTTTTCTCCCATACCTAGGTGTGACTATATATAGTCAGCATGATATATTTTTGAAGGCAAAGTTTGAGAGGTTGATTAGTTTATCAGTCATTTGATTAAATTTTGTTTATCAAAGGAAACCAACCAGCACATAAACAAAAATTGATGCAGGAAAACATTCAATAGTTAAGTATAGCAGAATCAATATTGAAAAATAAAAATAAATACTGTAAAATGCGATGAGATGAGAAGCAAACCAGGCAAAGGTAAACACCATCATACATCAATGAGTTTTCCAGCCATGATGGAAAGAATTGAGCATACAAAGGGGACATTTGACAGTTTTTTTAGCCCTAGGATTTACAGTTGAAGATGTGTTCATGAAAAGATGTATTCAGATTGATGAAGCTAATGAATTATTATTTTTATTATTTTACTCTACTATAACTATCTAAAGTGCATTTACAACAAAATATTTTTGTTCGTCTGACTGGAGTGACTTGAATGGACTTGGTGTTGTTGTCAGTTATTGACATTCTTATTAAATGACAACTTATTTACATTATGGGATGTTTTTTCATAAGTCGTTTTACATTTTAAGACATTTAAAAAAAAAAAATTGTTACACACATAATGTTCACTATATGGAATGCAAAAACTTTGAAGCTCAATATCTCAAAATCATTTAGAACGCAGATAGAACCTTATAATTCCAAGGTGACAAAATTACCAATTCATCAATACTAAATTACCAGCAGGACTTGAGACACAGAAACATAGGAAAGAGGAGCTGTTGTATCTCATCCTATGGTTAATATGATTAGCACGTCATAATTTTGCCAAGTTTTATACAATCCTGGATAAACATCTGTGTTGATACTGGAACATCATTTTTGTTCGAAAATGTAATCCATACCTATTCCTTACCCCTAAACCCAACCATAGCTGTAAATTAATCCCAAAATCAGAGGGGAATAATAGCTTTATAACAATCATGTAGAAGTGCATAAACCTAACAGTAAGCCAAAATTTAATATAAATGACCAACAATTACCTTAATTCTGATTGGCTAATTGGAATGTTGATCCAGGATCAACATTAATCCAAAACATGTCCTACTTGGTGAAATCAGGTTGGCGAATATGATTATGGTGAGAAAGCAATGTTCTCTTTTATTAGAAAGAAATGTTAGCTAGGCTTCTTCTAGGTCTCTCCAGGCAGTTTACTCAAAGATGGCGTCACATTTGAGCAGAAAACTGTTTGGGAATCTTTAAGTCCTAACCAGTCCTAACAATAAGTCCTAAACAGGCTACTATTCTTCTTCTGATTTTCTAACACTTCACGTCTGGAATCGTTTGGTTCCATTCAGGGTCACCTTCCTGTGAATCTGTTGCCTTTTTCTGAGAAATGAGCCAGTGCCTTTATAAAACATTTACTGGAACAGGAGCTAGTCAGGATTGTTTGATCTTCTTTCTGAGTGTGAATTACTGTAATCGATGTAAGTTTCATTACAGTGTGATGATGCCCATTGACCTACATTTTTGAGGTTCTTAGTTAGCATGACATCATCTCTGAGTCTGGAAGCCGTGTGCACTAATGATTCAGTGTGGACTTGAATCTCTTTATGTTGGAATCATTTCTCACTGACAGCCACAGATATTTCACTGTGGATCACTTTTAAAAGGCCACGGGTTTATTGTTATTTATTGTTTTTCCACAAAGCTGCCTTAATAGTTAACATCTTGACAATTTTTCAATAACCATGCCAGTAAGCATTTATTTAGATAATTAAGTATAAAATAGAGTACAAAGTTTTAGAGTCAGTTTCTGTTAATTTTTTTATTGAATAAAATATTTTTTTATAGTTCAGAGTATAAAAAAGTCCAGGGATGCAGCAAATATGCATAATATTTTTTATTTAAATCCCTAAAATATTCATTTATTCGTTCATTTTCCTTGGGCTTAGTTTCTAATTCAGGGACTGCCACAATGGAAAAAACCACCAACTATTTCAGCATATGTTTAATGCAGTGGATGCCCAGTCGATACCCAGTACTGGGAAACACACATAAACACTCAATCACACACACACTCATACACTATGGACAATTTAGTTTATTCAATGGGGTATATGCACAGCTGTTTTTCAGCCAATAATAAACTTCAAGTGAAAGCTTAATGTGACTCTTTTAAATTTTATAAGGTTCTTTTACAGCATCTTAATGTAATTAAAATACAATCAGTTAAATAAACTTAAGCATTCATTTAGATGTTCAAGCATAAAACAAGATGATAGACCATGGAACTGCTAGCGCCATTAGGATCAGCAGACAAGCGCAGAAAAGTCCATTCAAAATACAGAGGTCAAATAAATAGTCATATTTTAAAGAGATGGCGTAGGAAAATGGAATTTAATGCAATTCTTCTTGTTTTGACTGAGACCCACTTTATATCAAATATCTATTAAGCAGATTTTAAAAAAAAAATACAGATTTTAAAATGTGGCGATTTTGTAGTGGGAAGACCAGAAGCCGTCTGGCTGGCTGGCTGAAAATTAAAAGTGTGTGCATATACCCCATTCATACTTATACCGCATGTCGGGCTGTGGGGGAAACCAGGGCACCCGTAGTAAACCCACACGAATAAGGGGCGAACATACACATTCTACAAATATACTGTGCATAAATAGGCACCAATTGATGTTGTGTTTTAGGTGTAATTTTGTCCCATTCTTCCTGCACACACGTCTTAATGTGGGCAAGAGTACAAGTTCTTTGTTGTCGCATTTTGTGCTTCAAAATTTGACACACATTCTTTATTGGAGACAGGTCAGGACTGCAGACAGGCCAGTCATATTATCATAGATCAGCACAACTGTTTTTAACATGATTTATAAAAAGAAATATTTCTTGAGCACCAAATCAAAATAATAAATTGATTGCTAATGGATCATGTTACACTGAAGACATTAAGCTTTGCTAGCAGGAATATACATAAATCTTTTAGAGATTTCTTTAAATTCTAATTTTTTATTCTAATTAATTTTGACAACAAGATTTGATTTGAAAGATTTGATTCAGAATTTAGAAAATGAACTAAGATTATTTATTTATGTCTCCACCATGCTTCTTGAGTATCACACCAAGGAAAAAGAGGGAAATTTTCTAATTCATTCATTAATTTCCTTTTCGGCTTAGTCCCTTTATTAATCAGGGGTCGCCACAGCGGAATGAACCGCCAACTTATCCAGCATATGTTTTACACAGCGGTTGCCCTTCCAGCTGCAACCCATCACTGGGAAACATCCATACACAATCATACACTATGGACAATTTAGCCTACTCTATTCACCTATAGCGCATGTCTTTGGACTTGTTGGGGAAACTGGAGCACCTGGAGGAAACCTACGCGAACACGGGGAGAACATGCAAACTCCACACAGAAATGACAACTGACCCAGCTGAGGCTCGAACCAGCAACCTTCTTGCTGTGAGGCGATTGTGCTACCCACTGCACCACCTTTACGCCCGAAAATTATCTAAGATAAATTATTAATTATGTTTTAAATTGTTTCATTTACTGTTATTTTATCATCTAAAACCCACCGATATGAGGAATGCATCCTTTAGACTGCAAAGTTAGTGTATTTTGGCTCTCTTGTACCTATTTATCATTCCAAAACATTTACTGACTTCTGGATTGGGTTTAGGAAACAGCAAAGAAGCAAAATACCTCTTCCTCCCCCTGGAGTCTCTTCAGTCATGGGTGAAAATGGGTTTTCTTCACAGCTGACAGCGCTGTCATGTTTATCTGCTTATACTCAACAGGTTGCCAGTGGTTTTATGGCTACAGAATGTCAGTTTTTGACTTAAAGTGCTTTAATTGGTGTTCAGGGAAATTATGTGATTTGTGGAGTATGAACTTGTTTTATGTCAAAATGAATCTTCCCCTCATTCCTTTAGACGTGTTTGCATTGCGGCAGCTTTCTGCACTCATAAATTGTTCAGTTAATTGATTTTATGAAATTTAACAAAACATCTATCGAGGTAGAAGACTGTAGTGTGAAACACATTGATTTAATTTGCCTACAGAGGGAGTTCCCACTGGAAAAGAGCTAATTTTAAAAATGCTGAGTTTGACCTTCCCAGCCACTAATTCAGGACTTGTATGTTACACTCAGTTTTTCCAACCTTGACATATTTGACATGGAGAGTGGTCTTGTTATTGTTGAGCTCTAGATTTCATTGGCCTGTGGAAACTTTAGTATAAGTACATTTTTGCGTTTGACCACATGCACACACGTTCATTCATCAATATTTCATCTGCATCCTTCAGGGATTATTGCGGATTCTAAAAAGAGATGTTCGTGAAGTTGACACGGGCAACTGGATTAATAGCTTTCAGATGTACGTTGGTTCTATAACGTCCACTAAATTGTTAGTATTGTGTGAGTAACGTGAGCAGACAGTCTCTTTTTGCATGGAGTAGTTGTCTGTGCTGTTGTATTCAATTGCAGACATTATACAGAAATGATGGAGTCAGAATGAAAGACAATGTGTGAAGTATAAAGGCTTTAAATCAGTTCTATCATACAGAATCAAGGTTTTCCTTGATATTTTCACTTAAAAATGCTGTATCTTTCAAAGTCAAAACCAGACAGGCAGACCACCTATAAAGGAGTCAAATGTATTCCCTAATTACTTCCAAATTACTGTATGACTGGGCCCTGATCATTTTATTTTACTCACTTTTAGGGTTGAGTACTGATTTAGGTGCCACTTAACACTGAAACTACAAGAACTTGAAGAAAGTATTTACACATCATAAGAAAAAAGTAAAAATAAAACAATATTTACAGTACTTTTGTAGTAAGTAACCAAACAATAGCTTTTGCACTATGTGTCCTTGAGTCCTTGACTGTTCAGTTCCAACAAAAAGTGTGGCTTAAAGTGATGGCTTAGCAAACAGACCTAAAATATTTTGGTAAGGTACCATACTTAGACTGAGCTGCTTATTCACATGGAAACTCCACTTAGTCCACGTGGAAACTGAAATGCCTTCGAATTTTTCCTTCTGCTTCTAGTCTGCACAAAACTATAAAAGTGTTGGTAGTCTCATAGTTCTGTGAATCTGAAGAGGCTTAGAACCATATAAAGACACATATAGAGCTCTTCTGTCAATGAGATGAAGACTGCAGATGTGTTCTTTTGTTGTGTGCATTCATTGTTCACTATTCTCATAGTCCTACAATTTATTTAAAAATCATTTCTAAATCATACTATCTAAGACTGGTATAGTTATGTTATTTGCGAAGGCCAATAATAAACACATTTGTTTCATTTAAAATGATTTCTGAAGAATGTGGCAGTGAAGACTTTTGTAATAATGCTGAAAATGCACTGTTGTTATCACAGGAATGATTTATATTTTAAAATATAAAAACATTAATTCATTTCAATTGTAATAATAGTACAATTAAATCGTAACAGTTCATTTTTTGTATTTTTTTATTTAATTGTAACCTTGTTAACAGATTATTTCAGTACCTCAGAGTTTAAACAGTAGTGTAGATAAAAACTACTAGTTTAATGTCACTTGAAACTTTAAAAAGATCATTTTAAAAACATTGTTTAAAGGTTAAACTGACTGTTTGGCTGTTTAGGAGTTGGCGAGCTGTGGATGGAACAAGAAGGAGAAGCACAGCCTGTCACCCAATGTTGTGGCCTTTACAAGGAGGTTCAACCAGGTACGTTATGCTGCGCTAAACTTTAGGATTATTTATTACAAAATGTATTATTCTACATAGTTTTTATCTGTAACTTTGTAATATTAGATGTGGTCTTGAATAAAAGTCTTTGGGCATGAATTAAAGACCTTCACTGGTGGTAGGCATGTCGCTTAGGGGCTTACCAGTGACGATATACAGCGATATCTCACTGATATCTCAGTGTGACATTGTGTTTATACAACAGTTCGACGACATAATCATGTATATAAAAAAAAGAAGAAAAAACCCTTTTGTATAAGGAACTTCTTTTTTTCTGCCATTCCTTTACATCTGCAGCTGACGTCAAAACAGCAGAAACCGTTGCTACTTCCCAAACGGCATTTTAGAGCTAGTATTTTAATAATTCGCTTGTGTAATGTCTAAAATGATGACAAAACAGGTGATTTTGCTCACATTTTAAGATTATAAGGCTGAATGGCATGAGATGTCATCAGTCTGCAGAGATTTCCCAGTATTTTACTGTTACATTTGGGAGATCATAATAATTAAGCCTGAAAAAGCTAAAGCAGCGCAATCACTACCAGACTACTGCTGTGTTTTCTAAAAGGAAAAACGCTAAACACATGCAGGTATTTCTTCTTTCTTTCTTTTTACTGAACTAGTCTGCAGTAAAGAAAACAGGAGACACATTAGAAACAAACATATGGCCAACCAAAAAGTAACTCAGGGTAATACATAGAGTAGCCAACACAAAATACATACATTCCTGATATGCAAGTCCCCTCTTACACTCAATACACTATAATTACTATGGTATAAATACAGCACAAAGAGAGAGATCAACTCAGAATGTCACTTACCAGTTTAATGATCAGTTGCAGTTAGAAATATTAGTTTTTCTCCTTTCTACGGGCTTATTATGCTATCTATGTTGCCATCTTGTGGATGGACAACGTCCTCGCACAGACTATTGGATGCCGCTGCCTTGTATCTCTGAAATTCTAATTATTTAAAAGATTCACTGTCCTTATAAATAAACTGCATAGTTGCAATATAAACAACTACATTCTCGCCTAAAAAACCTGAAAAGTGCATTATTTTGTCCAACAGCTCCAATATTTGTCAAACTGTAGTGAGTTTATTGATCTGCTGTCACTCTGTATAAAATATAAACTATATAAACAGGGTTCGCACTGCATCTGTATGTATTTTAGCTTCTGTGACATGCAGCAATCGCTCACCCCCCCTGCATCATTTATATCCTTGCATAATTTAACTGCTGATGTATAATATATAGGTGTGCCCGTACATCTCCTCTGCTTGTAAACTCATAAACACTTGCGATCGGTTTATGAGATTGAGTCACTAAATGTGATTATTGGCTGATACCGATCTCCTGCTGATCGATCGGAGCATCCCTAATTTATGTATTGGAAAAATGTAGGCTGAAGCATGTTTTCCCCAGTAAGCTTCTTCAGTTTTTGTTTTGTTTTTTTCTTATCATTTATTAAAGTGCACTCTCTTTTGATGTGTTTTGTTCATTATTTGTAATTAATATGATAAATAAGATATGTTATATGTGTTTTTGAAAATATTGTGAGGTTTAGCATTTTATCAAAATAAAAACCAAACAAATATTAAATTGTTTAGGTTAGTATTCAGAGGCAATAGCTGTAGTGGCTTTGGCCTCTGTTGAATGCGACACGCACACACACACGCAAACACACACGCACATACACAGTATAATGCTCTGATAAATTTATTGATTCACACACACTTACTGTTAATGCACAACACTTTCTTTATTCCCGCTGGAAAATATGTCTATAAATACATCATTCTGAAGGTCAGAAGGTTTGTAGAAATGAATATCATTTTTATTTACATGGCATTTCTTTTTGGCAAAGCTTAAATGTCTTGGAACATTAATATAAGCAGCCATTTGAGCTCTGCAATTACATTTGCCATTTGAGTCTTTTTAATGTCATCATCAACAAAAGGAAGTTTCAATTATTTCCAGAATGAAAAAAGGGAAAGAAAAAGGAGATTCTGTTTTGATGCATTATTCTATTTCTAAGAGTTTTCGGTCTTTTGAAGCATATTAAATTGTGTTGTTACAGTACTTTCATGATAATTTCTTGATTTCCCTCCCCCTAATTAATCAGTATTTTTTTATGAGTTTGTAATAGTTTGAACATACTGTAATAAATCTGAGTTATACTGTGTGCTGCAAATATGAAATGGTACTGGTGGATTGTGGATCTTAGTTTACATTTGACCTTTTTCTTCTCATAGGTCAGTTTCTGGGCAGTGAGGGAGATATTGACAGCTCAGACCCTGAAAATACGAGCTGAGATATTGGGCCACTTCATAAAAATTGCCAAGGTGAGACTTTTTTGGTTTTCATTGCTCTTCTAGCCAGTACAGCTTGTTTACTGTACTTATCATCAGTTTCCTTTGATATGTGTTTCCATGGCAGTGGAAATATAACTCACTACAACTACAGTGCTCAGTAGTGATGTGACGTTGTACGCCAAGGCTTCGAAGCATGTATCAAAAAAACTATACTGTACATCTAGCAGTGAAGCAGTGTACCGGAGCTTGATTCGTTTTGCCATCATCACGTGATCAGTGGCGCCCAAAGCTTCATTTTCACCTATTCCCATATGACTGCTTCAAATTTTGATTCAAAAGTTTAAACACCCTCCTGGATTAGTAAAGTGTATAGCGAGAGATTAGGCGTTGATTACATACATTTCTACTGCACTGCACCGGTCCCACACACCAGTAATTCAACTAAAATACAATAGTAATTTATAGTAAAAAGGTTTTGAACCATACTAAAGTGAATAAGCGTATTTTTTTTATAACTATCTTTAAAGAAAATCACTGCATATCGTAGTAAAGTGTTTAACGGAGCGCAGCCCAAAAGTATCACTCACATAGCCTCCTCCTAGAGAATTGGCCTCACATGCAGGAATTGCTGGTTCGATCCTTGTTTGAAATGAGTTGGTGGGTGAAGGATAGTTAAAATACGATAAATGTAAATGCTTCTTAATACCTTGCATTTTACTACAGTCATCGGTGGTATAATGTAACATACCTTAGTGTAAAAACTACAGTAATTGAGTAATTTGTTTATATTACTGTTGTTGTATTACTACATGAATGAGTTGGTCAGTTGTGAACATTTGGCATTATTGCAACACAGTGCTTTCCCACATTTTAACCAGAAGAGCTTTGAGTAACAAACCTTTTTCTGATACAATTGGGTCGAGCGCTTCGCTAGTTCAGAAAGCTTCATTTTACCATCACTAGTGCTCAGCATATTTAAGTACACCCTCACAAATCTCTCTTTTAAATTCATATTTTAAATAGGAAGCTTTACTATTTTATATTCTTTTATATGCATTAGTTTAGTCAGTGCTGAAACCTAATTTTAAGCTTACTTAACAAAATAACTTACGTTAACAGTCCAAATACTAGTACACCCAAATTTATAAGTTTTAGAAAAATGTTAAATAAATAAAAAAAGAGAAAAATCAAGAGAAGAAAAAAGTCAAAAATTTAGTTGAAATTTTATTAGTTGTATTTTATTTTTGCACTTTTTTGCTCAAATTTAATTGTGTTATTATCACGGTCAGAGGTTGGGGAAAAGGAGCGAGGACTCAAGTGCAGAAATAATATGGGTTTTACTAATATTAAAATAAAATAAACAGCAAAATAAATTACCCGAGGGGGAAAACATTAATAAAACAAATAAAAAATCAAGACAAACTAGACAGGGCCGGTTGGCAGGGATCAGGACTGAAACACATCAGGACAAGGTGACATACGACGACGAACTGGCACAGGACAGCAGACACGAGGAGAATATAAGCAGAAGTAAATTAACACAAACAGATGAATAAAATTAATTAATAATGGGTTAACAAGGAGGGTGGAGCTAGACAATAAACAGGAGAGCACATTACATCGAGACAACACAAGTCATGTGCTTACATAAAACGACAAGAACATGAAGCCAGTGAGAGAACTCATTAACCGCACATTCACAAAGGACAAGACTAAAGCATGCGGCCACAATGAAAACACAGCGCCACGTGCTTGGACAACACAAACACAAATAGACGCAAGACACGAGCACACGATAAATTAAAACACCTTACAGTGCGCTCACACATAATCAACAGGCATGTTCAATCTCAGCGCCAACCGAAACCAAAACCAACCAGACTGGGACGCTGAGAATGAAACGAAGTGCGATGCCGACAGAACAAAACACAAACACGAGTAGAGCGCATGTCCCAAGCACACACAGAGCCCCTGCGCCCGCATCAAGCGGGAGTGCGCAGTCACGACGACGTGCACCCAGAGACAAACACAATGACAAAAAACAAGTGCTCGACCCGAGAAAACTTGAGCCGAGCACAACAGGACAGGACAAGACAGAACTAGTGTCCGTACTCTGCCACCAAAACAAGAATTTATAAGACCAGAGTGGCAGAACCCTGACAATTATCTTTCTATTTTTCAATATGTTTGGTAACTAAAATATAATTTTAATAAATATATCCGTTTAATAAATCTGTTTTGTTTAAATGCACCAAAATATGTTGCCTATATTCACTAATAAATAGATAAAAATGTTCATTTTCAAAGTGGGGTGTACTCGGTTATGCTGAACACTGTGTTCTCTTATACGTTCAGTCAAATTTGTGTTAATATTTTCGTCCAGATCTAAATATAATTTGGTATTCTGATAATTGTCTTTGGCACTGGTATTACTAAAATGTGTGCTATTAGAAACTTGAACAAGGCATTAAACATTTTTCTTTTTTTCTTTTGGCTGACATTAATGACATTTTTTTGGATTAAACCCATTTGTTTAAGGTCAATGTGAAGGAGTAGAGAGATTTCACTGGAGTGAGTGTTTTTGCTGTAAATGGAGGATGAGAATAGCTAAATAATCAGTTGCTATAGCCACCGCTTCATACTATGCAAAACATTTTTACACATTTTTGTCATGTCAAGACCACACACGGCTTCTCTGCTAATAATCTCTTGCCATCTTTTGCAATGTGTGTGATCATTGAGACAGACTTCCAAAACAAGAACATAAACAGGAAATACCATAAAATCAGGGGATTTGTTGCTAAACAGTAGCTCTACAAATTCTTCCCTAATTGGCTAATTTCACTTACTTGTTGGCCAGCATGAGTTGGCGTCTGCAAAAATCCTATATTGTGCTTGACTAAATAAAACAATAATTTCTTGCATCTCAACCAGTGGTGTAAAGAGTACTAAAATATATCATACTCAAATAAAAATCATTACTTGCCAAATGTGTTACAAGTTGAGTAAAGGTATTACAATTTTAAGTAAAAAGTGGCCTTTCTAAACGTATTCACTGACTAGTGACTACTTAGTGACTGGTTAGTATTATACTGTGAAAATTAGTGCATCTTAATTGCTTCAGTGCAATTTTTATTTAAGAGTGTTTCTAAGTGTAAGTTAGAGTATATTTATGGACTATACATTTGAAATGGGAGATTCATTTATTGTGAGAACACCATTAATCAATACTTCCACCTATAAGCAGACTAGAAAACAGGTTGATGTAATTAAATATTTAAATATTTACCAGAATCTGTGTAATGTAAGAGGCAAACATCCAGCTTTGATGATATTAGCTCTCATGTTATGCACTTTGAACTCTGACTAAAGTGTCCAATAGTTGGATCAACAAACCAAGCTTGTACAGAACTGACAGAATACATGCAAGTTGTGCGTGTGTTTGAAAACATTGCATTCTGTAGTGCGTTAAGTTATTGTGCAAGGTCATTTGGTGATTTCAGTCATCATACAGTAGGCATCCTTCATCTTTTTCATTGAGATGCTGTCTCTCGGTTATTCTGTGTAATGATTTTGCATCATCTTAGACACTTTTAATGCTTCCACACTGTACATTTGCTGTTTTTATTAAGCATCCATGTCTGTTGATCTATGAAGTTGGTCTGTCTAATGCCATTTTTCAGTTTGGTATTTGATTAGATGAAATTCATGGTTCTGATTATTCCACTTAGCCAAGCATTGTAGACAAGATCAAACAAAAATATAAAGCAGTAACTAAAGTTTTAAGGTAAAAACGCACTTTTTTCATTTATTTATTTATTTGACCATAGACTTTTTATACTTTTTAATCATAGCTCTTTTTATTTATTTTCTCGCAGCCCCGTGAGCAAAATGCAGCCTGCAGGTTAATGATGACGTAACTATCATTCAACCCCAAACAGTGGCACCTTAGTGAATATAAGAATTTGAATAATTAGTATAAATGAATATTACACCTGCTCAATGAAAATCAGACGATTCACTACATTAATAAATCTGACATAACATGACCACCATGGGAACAGCGCCATTGTGGTCCAGTGGTCAGCACATTGCGCTATGATGCCGCCGAGCCGTGTTCAAATCTCACTGGAGTAATTATTATTATTTATTTATTTTATTTTTAAATTTTTTTATTGTTAAGACATATAATACTGTTAGGGTTGTTGAATATTTGAAGTTCTAAAGCAGCTGTTTTCTTGAAAAAGACGTGATAGTGTCATTAGAAACTGTATTGGAATTGACCTTTTTTATAGTCAGTCTTGAACTGAGGTGGGCCGGTCTAAGACTTGAAACTCCAGGGCTGAAAAGGAGTCCCACTCCGGCCCTGGGTGCAGATCACACCGAACACACTTTTCTATTCTGAGAGCGCGAGATGCAGCGTACTGCCTTGATTTGTTTTGTTACTAATCAACCACTAAATCAGCTGCATAATGTGTGCAAGCATATGTGTGTGTGTGTGTGTGTGTGTGTGTGTGTGTGTGTAATATGTGTAAATGTGTAAATATTAAAATAAGGCTGAATGGCTGAACTGAAATGCCATCAGTCTACAGAGATTTTCCAGTATATCTCTGTTGCAATCAAGATTTCACAGTAATTACCCCAAAAAAGCAAAGCAAACATTATTAGTATAAATAAAGAACTACAATATATATATATATATATATATATATATATATATATATATATATATATATATATATATATATATATATATATATATATATATATATATATATATAAGAGAGAGAGAGTTAGATTTAGAATGTCACTCAACTAATTTATAATGATTTCATCAGCTGGAGTTTGAAGTCCTTATTATGCGATCTCTGTCGCCATCTTGTGGCGGAACGTCAACCATCAATTTCTTTGGTCTGCTCAGACAGGCTGATGGCAGTCGATGCACTGAATCTGATGCTCTTGAAATTATAAATATTTAAAATAGGCACTGTTCTATTTTAAATATAAATAAACTGCATAGTTACAATCTAAACAACTACATTCTCACTTAAAGAAAGCCTCAAAAGTACATTATGTTTTCCAACAGCAGCAATATTTGTAAACTCAAGAGTGTCCTTTGCTTGTCGCTGTATGTGGGCGGAGTAATACACAAGGAGTGAAGAGGGGTGAAGAGGCGGTACAGGTGCTGTTATCTGCAGAATATCGCATGGTTATCAGCCAGTCAGATTTAAGAAACAGACAGAACTGTTGAATATATATATATATATTATATATTATATGACCAGCTAAAACCAGCTTGACCATCCTAGCCAAGCTGGGAGTCCAGCCAAAACCAGCTATATCCAGCTTAAACCAGGCTGGTCAAGCTGGTTTTAGCTGGATTTGGCTGGTCATTTTTCAGCCTGACCAGCTAAGACCAGGCTGGAAATGGCTGGAAACCAGCCTGGAAGTGGCCAAAACCCCTCTAAAACCAGCCTGGTCGACCAGCTAAAACCAGCCAACCAGCCTAGGCTGGTTTAAGCTGGATTTTTCAGCAGGGATTTTTCAAATATATATATATATATATATGTGTGTGTGTAGTGAATAAAGTGTATAATCTAATTAAAGATTATTTAAAAATGTCTTGTTTTTTAACCTATTTATTTTTATTTTATTTTAGATTTATGGTTAAATCTACAGTGACAGTGATATGAAATGTCCTGCATTTTTCTTTTGAAATCTTAAAATGAAGTTAAATGATCACTTTTTGTTTAAAAACAAAATTCAACTGCCATTAAAGGTTCAGGACACCCCGGAGAACTTTTTTTTTTTATATTAACAGATGTATGTGTGTTGATCATCAGTTAAGACAATGTTAGCACCTGTCAGCTTTAATTGTGGGGAAAACTGGATCATTTTGAGCTTTTGTCAGCTAATTTCAGCTTCCGGGTTTAAAATGATTTTTGGGGCGGGATCAAAATCGGCGACGTAGCGCAGAACTGCAAGTGCAATGATGACGCGTCGGTTTCTCATTATTATTCATAGTGGAGTTTTCTTATCCTATGAGAAGAGCCGGCTGCTTAATTATTCATGAGACCTGCCAGACCTGCCAGTGTTAAGCCTGAGCTGAGAGACACAGAAACCACGGCACAGTATTTAGCCGTTCATGAAGGCTCATATGCGTTTGTTTCCATCATCCACGGGGTTTGTTGCATGTTTTCCCCCGCGATCTTGTCAGGGCCGATCATACAGTAAAGCTGTGTGTGTGCTGCTAGCATTTTTGTCGGGAGAGCAGCACGAGAATTAGAGAATGGCGTACGCTGTGTTTTATCAGGAGTTCGTTCACATTCAGACACATCGCCGTGCTGCTGTGTTTGCCTAAATCCTCCAGATTACCAGCAGGGTTAATGGTTAAAATAGGCGGGTCAGGAGACCTGCTGCACTGAGTCTGCTGGATACAGGAATTGAGGGAGAAGTCCTCATTTATAGTGTTTACATGAACACACATCTTTATAATGATATAAATTGTGGTTGTCTGTATATGAAGTTACGAATAACAAATGTAGCAGGGCATTAAATCACTGTTCATTTCTTTGCATTTTAACTTTGTAAACTATAAACTCATGCGTCTCCTCTTTGTGTCTCATTTTGTGAGCTAAATGACAACAGCAGTTATTCACTCCCCTTCTCCCCTGCTGGCCACGCCCACTCCTGCCCGATGCTCGCGGAGCTCCACGCCCATTAATCATGCATCTTTTGAAAAAATTCTGAAGTAGACTTTAACCGAAAGAGGGTGGTGTCATGGCCCTTTAAACAACCATTTTATGTTATTTAAACTCTTGACAGTGGTACCAACAGTCCCTTGCTACCAACCCCCCAACCCACACACACATATGCGCACAGACTGCTGCGATTTTAATCAGCCTACATGCTCTCCTTAAACTCAATGTACCACGACACAGGAAAACCCACTGAACAACTCTGTATGGTTGAACACTGACCCACAACACCTGCCAAATCTGAAAAAGAGGCATACCCTGCTTCCAGCAGACATAGTGCCATAGTGAGCTTGAAAGAGCAATGCTACCGTTTATGCTAATGAATAAAGCAGACCAGGCAGTAACTAAAAACCAAAGCAGCTTTGCTTTTTTCCCGCTATCCATAAAGTTGGTTGATACATAGTGCTTCACAGAGGTCAAATAGTATGGTACATTGACTGTCCTAAACTATTAATTGGAAATTGTTTGTTTGTTTGTTCATTTGTTCGGTTCTTTGCCTACACGTTGTGTATTTAAAATCCTTTAAAGCATGGCAATTGGTTGATTATCCCTTACTTATAAGTGTGTTTTCTTTGTCCTTATAGAAACTACTGGAGCTGAATAACCTGCACTCCTTGGTGTCAGTGGTCTCAGCCCTTCAGAGTGCTCCCATCTTCAGACTCAGCAAAACCTGGGCGGTCAGCAAAACCTATTTTATTTTATTTTATTTTATTTTATTTTATTTTATTTTATTTTATTTTATTTTATTTTATTTTATTTTATTTTATTTTATTTTATTTTATTTTATTTAAAGCAATATAGGTCATTTAATTTTATCAAAACAAAATTCAAAGCTTCCAGAAACCATGAACACAGCCACAATTGCACTCCTCCTCAAACCTAATAAAGACCCAACACTACCATTAAGCTATCGTCCAATCTCACTAATTAATGTAGACACTAAAATAATTGCTAAAGCACTTTCACATAGAATAGAAAAAAATCATGCCATCCATAATCCATCCAGATCAAACCGGTTTTATTAAAGGTAGACAATCACCAAACAATACACGCAGACTCATAAACCTAATACACCACTCATCAATAAACAAAAACAAATCTATCATAGTCACCCTTGACGCAGAAAAAGCCTTCGACAAAGTAAACTGGAAATTCCTGTTTTCCACATTAGAGAGGTTTGGTTTTGGGGAGTCATTTATTAATTGGATAAAAATTCTCTACACTTCACCCTCAGCTACTGTCATTACTAACGGACTAACATCATGCAGCTTCTACACCGGGGAACTAGACAAGGATGCCCACTCTCTCCCTCTTTATTCACCATATTCATTGAACCACTTGCAGCAGCTATCCGTCAAAACAACTTTATTAAAGGAATTCAAACATTAAACATACACCATAAAATAAGTCTTTATGCTGATGACATATTATTATACTTACAAAATCCCCAAACATCATTACAGGAAACGATAAAACTTATTGATACCTTTTCAAATATTTCTGAATATTCAATCAACTGGAACAAATCTGCTATACTCCCATTAAATTCCACCAGTGTGGATGTGACATCCCAAACATCACAAATCCCTCTGTGCACCAACTACATCACATATTTGGGTATCAATGTTTCCGCCAGGCTGTCAGAGTTGTTTGCACTTAACTATACTCCGTTACTTAAAAAAATAGATGACGATCTGCAACGTTGGATGAACTTACCATTATCCATCATGGTTAGAATATCAGTAACCAAAATGTCCATACTCCCAAAAACAAACTATTTATTTTCAATGATTCCAACACAACCCACACATACCTGGTTCAAATCTCTAGACTCAATTATAACACAATTCTACTGGAAAAACAAGACCCCAAGAATTAAACTGACAACCCTACAGAAACCAAAAACACAAGGAGGATTAGAAGCACCACATTTTTACAACTATTTTTTTGGCAAATCAGCTTCAAAACATACACAAATGGATTAAACCTAACTCATCATAATACACATGGCAAGACATTGAACAATCAATATGCAAAGACATTAACATTTCAGAATTACCCTTTCACAGTCAATTAATCAAGAAACATCACTGTTTTAAAATGCCGACAATAGAAGCAACTCTGACAGCCTGGTGGAAATTCCATCAGGTCACAAGTTGCCCACTCACACCATCTAAATACACCCCAATTTGGAATAACCTTGATTTCCTAGCCAACAAGAAGCCACTTAACTTTCGCACATGGGCAGCCAAAGGAATCACACAACTTCAACATATCTTTATTAATAATAATCTGGCACCATTTCCCCATATAGCCCAGACATACAGCATTGGGAGTAATTGCTTTTTGGAATATTTACAAATCAAATCATCAATTAAATCAAAATTACCTAACCAATCAATCAAGCTAGACCTTCCACCTCAAATCTCAGAGTTTATTAATATATCTCCCTCCAAAAAATTGCTCTCCCAAATATACAAAATGATATCAAAATCAGACAATGCATTAGTTCTACCAACCACTAAATGGCAAACAGACTTATCTATTAATCCCAATGCTGCATTCTGGACTCAAATTTGCAAAAACACATTTTCCATGACTAAAAATGCTAACTTACAACTTATACAGTACAAAGTACTTCACAGATCACATTTAACTGGGTAGAAATTATTTAAAATGGGTTTCACGTCAGAAATATGTTCACATTGCACACAAAACACCCCAGACACATATCTTCATGCCTTATGGTATTGCACTTAAATTAAATCATTCTGGGAAAATGTTACTGACTCACTCTCCAACTTAATGGGTTGTCACATCCCACTGTGTCCCTCCCTCTACATATTAGGTGACATATCCACAATCAATATAAATAATACAAATGGTCAGTTTCTGCTGGTGGCTCTAACTATCGCAAAGAAAACTATCCTCATGAACTGGAAATCAAGAAATACCATTCACATCTCATACTGAAAAAACTTATTAACAGAATACATCTCCACTGAAGATCCTCTTTGCCTGAAGCCATTCCCTAACAACACCTTCATCAGTACATAAACAAGAGGGGAGGGGAGAGAGGGGGTCAGGTAGAGATAAGGAGGAAGAAAAAAAAATCTAATATTAAATCTAATTTAAAATAAATAAATCAATTGGAAAAAAAGTATAATGTAAACAATCAAAATAAAAGAATCATAATTCGGTCTTTATATACTTCTTTACTTTCCCTTTTGTTCTATTTGTTCCCCTTTCCTGTCTCTATCAATGTTATTTATTCATTTTATTATGATTATTATTTATAATATTTGTTTTCTATGTATTATTATTATTATACATAAATTATTATTATTATCATTATTATTTATATACCAGTACTTCTCCTGACCAGTCCAACAACAGATAAAAAAAAGAAGAATAAGTGTGAAGGAAAAAAAAAGAAAGAAAGAAAGAGTAGAGGAGGAAAAGAAAAAAAAGAGAGGGAAAAAAGGAAAGAAAAAAAATCTACTTAAATGTACTAAATTCACAGGGTAAAGTGTAACGTAGGCATGGCAGTCTGGGCACTGCACTGGACTGATCCATGCCACACGTCACATTTTTTTTTAATGCATCACAAAGCAACTGACAAACACTATATACTGTACCTCAATGCCCATCACACCACTACAACCTCCTCAGTTCGTTGTTACAGCTGTTGTTATTTTTGTTATTATCATTATTATTAGTATTATTATTATTACCAGTATGAGTATATTATAGTTATCAAGTTAATAATCTATCATACATATCTTTAATATTATTCTTCCATGTGGGTTTGTATAATTCATAATTAGCATTGATATAGTGTTTTCTTTTTTATTTATTTAGTTTTTTATTATTATTACTCATTTTTTTTGCTTATTCTCATTGCTTTGTTTGCTGAACTTTATTTTTCCTCTCTCTTTTTGTTTCTTTTCTTTTTCTTCTACTCCTCCCCTTCCTTTTCTGTTTTATTTTATTTATTTATTTATTTTTATTATTATTATTTTATTAATTTTTGTTTATTATTATTAGTTTATATTCTCTTTCCTCTCTTTCCCCTTCTACTTACTACTTACTACTATTATTATTATTTATTATTATTATTATTATTATTATTATTTATTATTATTATTACTTGTCCTCTCCCTGATTTCCCACCTCCCCTCTCCTCGACACCTTTGTCATAAATGGTATTACTTTTATTTTTTGTAATCATTATTATTATTACTGTTCTGACTTGTCCTGTTATCTTTCCATTATCATTATTACAAGTATTTATACGATTATCATTATTAAGGTTGCAGTTGTTGTAGTTGTAGCGGTAGTAGTTGTAGTAGTAGTAGTAGTAGTAGTAGTAGTAGTAGTAATATTAGTAGTAGTAGTAGTTGAAGTAGTAGACATTGTAATAGTATCGATTGTTATTGAGTAATTGTTACGGAGATTATTGAAGTAGTAGTTCATGTAGTAGTAGATGTCATTGGTATAGTAGTAGCAGAAGTAGTAATGGTGTGGTTGTTACAGTAGTAATAGTAGTCGTTGTTGGTGTAGTAAAATCAGTAGTAGATGTTGTTGATGTACAGTAGATGTAGTAGAAGTGATTGTGGTGGTGGTAGTAGTAGTAGTAGTAGTAGTCACAGTAGACGTTGTTGTATTAGTTGTAGCAAACACTATAGTAGTATCAGTAGTGGAAGTTGTTGTAGTGGTATCAGTATTAGTAGACATTGTAGTAGTAGTAGTCGTGGTTGTGGCTGTAGTAGAAGCAGTAGTAGTTGTAATATAAGTAACTTTCTGTAGTAGTAGTTGGTGTAGCACTTGTGATTTATTATTATTGTTGTCATTTATTACTGTTGTCCTTTCTTTCTTTTTACTCTCATATTTACTATCATACATTAATAAGCATTGTTGTTACTCCCTACCTCTGACTGGTTTCTTTCTATATGTTTTATCTATATCTGTGACACTTGCTTCATTTATTGACTGTTATTGTTCCTAATGTATGTACTCTGACCTGTCCACCAAGTTACCTTTACATGCATACACACTCACACGCACATACCAGTACATGACTATATTGTTGTTGTTTTTGTTTTGTTCTTGTTTAGTTGCTTTGTATTTGTTATTTGTTGATGTTTTCTTGTATTTGTATGATTTTTGCATATTCTTTAAAAAAAAATAAATAATAATAATTTAATTTAATTTAATTTAATTTAATTTAAAAGTTGTTAAAGTGGAGTACATTCAAATAGTAAGTAAAATTAATTAATAGCATGTATTTATTATTATTATTATTATTATTATTATTATTATTATTATTATTATTATTATTATTATTATTATTAATATTATTTGTGTTTATTTTAGCTATATTGCATGTTAATATGCATTTACCATCATTAATTAATAGATGTATTGTTTGATAACATAATATTTTGCAAAATGTAAACTATACATAAACTATAATAATTACAATTTTTTGCAGAAATGTTTCCTACTTAATTATGGCATCATACCTGAATAGAAATAATCAATTATGATTTTTGTGTATTTGTGATATACGGTTGAAGTCAGAATTATTAGCCCCCTTAGTTTTTTTCTTTTTCTTTTCTTTTTTTAAATATTCCCTAAATTAGGTTTAACAGAGCAATGACATTTTCACAGTATG